AAAAAAATTCTTCGCTCAATGTACAGCAAAAACCTTGATTGATAGGAAGGTGGAGGCTCTCAAAATCGTTAAATGATATCCTGAGATATCGAGAAAAATAAACTGTTTTGGAAAAGTCTTAATGAATAGCTGGAGGCGCCCTGTAGATTCTTCGCGGTAAACTTTATCTGGATCTGGAATAATAACGATTAACATAGTTTGTTTCGTATCGGTTAAAGAAAGCATCTCTGGATTTTGGAATAAGAGTCTTTGGAAAATTTATTAAGAGTTCTTTGAAAAGAAAGAAGAAAGACAAAGAATTATTTGATAAAAGCAACAAAGACGAAGTCGCGACTAGCAACAGAGGCTCATGGTTTTATGGCCTGCGTTAACTCGATCGTCTTAAATGCGGAAAAAGTAACTAAAAAAGAGCGCAAGGCTCTTTTGATATTTCAACTACTCCTCCTATAAGCCTTCTTATTTATAAATATAAAGATCAGCAAATATACTACTTGCGGACTCGAATCGAGCCGTGAAACATGGTGATTTCGACACGAATGTGCTCCTAGAATCTTTTAACCTGGTAGCCACAGTAATCGTTGTTATATCTTAAATGTGACAAAATTCCTAACGAACAAGCTAATAGAAACGACGCGAAGAGGAAAGGGAGGAAAAGAACTCGAGAAGGAGGCTGCCAAACTGACGAAGAGGACGCGACTGAAATTCACACCTGCGGGCAGCCATGTGGACAATGCAGCGATGCAACGAATTCAAGACTCAGCAGCATTGAAAAGAAGCTCACCTTGCTCTTAGGTGTCTTTCCCGAGTTAGAAAATTGTAAGTCCAGAATCAATCAACTCGAAGAAGAAAATAAATCCCTACAAACAAGCCTGCAGTATGCTCAAGCAGAAATCGAAGATCTAACCAGTGACACAATCTTAGATAGTGCAGAGTGTAATGTATAGCTCTGGCACGATAGTCACACATGTCGTGCTCACTCCCGGTTTGTATTTACTTTGGTACCTAGGGCTTTTCCC